AAGTCCAGACCACAAAAATAAAAGACTAAAAGGCATCAATGTGGGTTCATTTCTCTGTTAATCAATGACAACCATGTGCATCTGAGCATAGCGAAAGTGGTGTGGCAGATTGTGCATTTATCTAAGGGACACCAGTGCCAAAAGGCACTGAACTCTCCCCAGGCAGAGGGGACAGGTGGTCATTTAGGACATGATGTGTGTAGCCTTTGACTCCACGGGCCTTAGTGAGAAGAGCATTGTTTCTTATATGCCTGGAGTGGGGGGCATGGCAATGAATGCCATGTTACAGATTTCAGCCGTAATACTGACTTTACCAGGTAGAGCTGGATTTCGGAGAATAAAGCATCACAGGAGAATTCATTTCAGAATTGGAAAGAGCCTCAGATACAGGTATCACCTACAGCAGCAGTCCCCAAGCTTTTTGGCATCAGGAACTGGTTTCATGGAAGACAATTCTTCCACAGAGGAGGAGGAGGTGGCGGGTGGGTGGGGAGAGTTAGGCATTTGAGGCTTTTTTCATAAGGAGCGCACAACTTTGATCCCTCACATGTGCAATTCACTATAGGGTTCATGCTCTTTAGAGAATCTAATGCTGCGCTGATCTGATAGGAGGTGGAGCTCAGGTGGTAATGTGTGTGCTAGGGAGTGGCTGTAAATACAGATGAAGCTTCACTCACCTGTCATTCACCTCCTGTTGGGTGGTCTAGTTCCTGAGGGTTGGGGACCCCTGACCTACAGTGCTCCTTCCTTTGCTGAGGAGGAACAACTCCAGGATGTTAACAGCCAGTTAGTGGCAGAATTAGGACTAAACGTTGGTGTCCTGACTTGAACTGCTGTACTACCTTCACAACAGTCAATTCATTTCATCTCCGCTGAGAGTCAAAGCAGGTGATAAACATAACTTATGCATTTAGTTTAGTTCTGTTTTATAAGACTTTCTAAGAAAATGATGGAATGACCTTAGATTTAAAGTATATGGGAGACAAGTTCAACAGGGTTCTCTTCCTATTAGCTCTCCCGCAGCTTGTAGTATGGGGCTAGGAGCTGTAGGGGAGTGAGGGCGGGGAACATACGTGGCTTCCAAACAAGATCCACTCCTTTCCTCATTCACAAATATTTATTAAACATCAGAATCTATTGTCCTAGATTCTATAGTGAATAGAATAGCTCACATGCAAATAGAAGACACAGAAAGTAAATAAAGTCTAAAAAGATCAGTACAACCTATGATACATGTTATGTACTAAGTAGTCATTAATAGCTCAAAATGGATAAGAAACTCCCTGCAAATCAACTAGAAAAAGAGGAAATGCGATTTGCAGAAGGTGGAGGTGGGGCAAAGGCCTCATCAGGTGACAGTCACAGCCTGCCTCTGAGTAGCCCCTACCCGTTGGCCAACATGGGAGAGCTCAGCATCATTCTGCATGGGCATTCAGCCAACTGCATTGGTGCTCGGGGTCAGGCATACACAGAGGAGGTTCTAGGAAACTTGAGTTCTTCCTCTAAGCTGTTTTTGGTTCCTTTTCTGCCTGACAGAAAGAAACAGCAGCCTGGGGCTCGGCTTGGCAATCCCAAACCCATTAGGAACCTGAGAAATGCATGTTACATGGTGAGCTGCTCCTTGTAGCCTCAGCCTGGCAGCCAGGAAGTTTGGTCCTGAGGTGTGCGTGTGGGTATGGGGATGTGGAGTCCCCCAGAACAGGATGAAGGCTGTTTTGGAAAGGCAGGCTTGACGAGGTCAGATTAAAACTGACACCCTATGGACTGATAGTTCCACTCCTGGGTAGATGAATCCATCAGGAAATTGTATAGGATGCCCTGCAACAGCAGGAGTGAGCTGAAGGCAATCCAGTGTCCTTGCACGAGGGCACAGAGAGGGAAATGAGGAGGAGGAAGTCTGCCTCAGCAGCCATAGAGGAGAGACCTCTGCAGAAAGGCAGCAAGATAGGTCCTCAGGGCCCGGTGCTGAGTGACAAATAAGAAATAGAAAGGTCTGGGAGGCTGAGGCGGAAGGATCGCCGATCCCAGCAGGTCGAGGCTGTGGTGGCCAGAAGCAAGCCACTGCACTCCAGTCTGGGTGACAGAGTGAGACTCCAACTCAAAAATAAATAAATAAATAGAATGGTCACATGTCTTCTGAGAAGTTTCTATTCATATCTTTTGCCCACTTTTAAAAAATAGGGTTGCTTGTTTGTTTCCTTTCAGCATGTTTGTGTTCCTTGTGGATCCTGGATGTTAGGGCTATGTCAGATATATAGTTGGCAAGTATTTTTTCCCATTTGGTGGGCTGTCTCCCCACTCTCTCAATGGTTTCTTTTGCTCTGCAGAAGCCTTTCAGTTTGATGAGGTCCCACTTGTCTATCTTATCTTTTATGGCATTTGCTTGTGGAGAACTGATCAAGAATCAGTTGCCTACTCCAATGTGCCTAAGAAAGTTTCCTAGTTTTCTTCTAGGATTCTTATAGTTTGAGGTTTTACATTTAGGTCTTTGATCCATTTAGAGTTTATTTTTGTGTACGGTGGCAGGCCGGGGTCCTGTTTCAATCTTCTGCATGTGGTCAGCCAGTTTTCCCAACACCGTTTACTGAGTAGGTTCTCCTCTTTCCAGTGGTTGTTGGTGGAGGCTTTGTCAAAGATGAGTTGATTAAGGTTTTGCTTCCAGAATCTCTATCCTTTCCATTGGTCTATACATCAGTTCTTATACCAATACCAGGCTGTTTTGATTACTGTAGCCTTATAGTAGAGTTTAAAGTCTGGGAGTATGATATTTCCCGCTTTGTTTCTTTTGCTAAGGATTGTTTTGGATATATATACATGATGGAATATTATGCAGCCATAAAGAAAAACAAAATTATGGACTTCGCAGTGACTTGGATGGATTTAGAGTCTATAATACTCAGTGAACTATTACAGAAACAAAGATCTGAGTACCACATATTTTCATTCATAAGTGGACCCTGAACACTGGACATAATACTATAAGAAAGGGATTGGCAGTAGCTGGAAACTGCTTGGGGAGGAGGAGGAGCACACTTCATCAATAAGGGTACCAGCTCTCAAACCAAGTGAAGTAGGGACCAAAGGGAGGCCCAATGGCCCGTACAATGACTACATATGTTCCTAAGCCTGAACTGTACCCCATCATCTTTAAAATAAAATTAAAAAAAATAAAATGGGGCCCACAACACACCTAAGCACACACCTGCAAAACACAAGACCCCGTTTTGCAGTTAGAGCTTCAAACAGAAAGCTATCACTAAACATCCAGAGGGTGGGAGGATATCAGAGTGGGCAATGGGATTAAAAGGGCAGAAGTATATAAAATTGAAGTAGATAAAATTGGGGAGGCCTCGCATGGGGCGATGATAACACATCCTGTTAACTCAGCAGTTGGTACCAGAGACTAGGATGTGGGAGGAGACAGGGAGGTGGGAGGAAAGAGCCACAAAAGTGCTCTGAGGAGGCAGGTCCCATTGGCTTAGCCCTGGAGGATGAGAAGGCACCAGATGCTGGCCTCTCTGGGGCAGGAGAGCAAACAGAACTCTGTGCCTTTCCAGGTGAGCACGAAACCTCTCACAAAGCAGATGACCAGAGTGGAGACGCAATCCTCTCAGCAAATAAGAGGACTGAAGACACATCAAGAGAGGCTACCAACTGTACAGGATCTGCACGAGGAAGAGAGGGGGCCATGTCTAGACAATGAGTGTGATTCAGCAGGATGCACTGGTAAACTCAGATTCAACCTGCATAGAAACAACAGGAGGCAACCTCGGGCAGTGTGAACACACAGGAGAGCGCAGACAAATCAAGACAATGTCATGGAGTCTAAGATGAGAATCAAATGTCCTCCACAGCTGTGCTTCAAAAACAAGCAATAAAGAAGTGGAATGAGCAGGACACACATGGCTAGATAAAAGGCTGAAGCCCATGAGAGGCAGGACACAGCAGCCATGGTGTCACAGGTAGGCTCCTGAACTAATGTGGTCTCACTCTCAGGGACCTGGCCAAGCTGGTTAAGTGCTCTGTGCCTCAATTTCCTTGACGTCCTGACTGACGTGCTGGGCTACTGTGGTTAACACAGGCAAAGTACTCAGAACAGTACTTGGAACACCTGAGCTTTCTCCCAAGTGGCTGCTATTGAAAACATACATTTTTCAGGCCAGGGGTTCCCCCAACATCATTGACAGAGCTCCTACATCGGACCAAGGAGTAACAATCTCCAGGGAGTGAAGTAGACTGAGGGTGCCAGAGGCATGGCAACAAATGCCTCCTGTTTGACAAAAAGCTCGATTCTAGAAACCAGAGGTCAATGAGCTCAATGTTAATACCTGGTCAAGTTCTAGAACAGATGGTTGAGGACTCCACAATGAATGAAGAGTGAGCAGGAACCATGTGGTTGGTTCTTTCTAAGAACAAACTACATGGACTAAGGCTTACTCTTCTTCCTTAAAACAAAGTCACTACATGGCGAAACCCCTTCAACAGCTAATCAAGTCATTCACAATCAACAAATACTAATTGAGTGACTTAAATGTTTGGCAGACATTTTGGGCATGAAGCTGTTTCATGCAGGGAAGACAGGGCCCTCTTCTAGTCTGTAGACCAAACCCTGGCCCAATCTATCCATAAGGCTATATTAAATATGAACACTCAATATTTCAAGCAAAGAAGTGAAAGGTCACCCTTCATTGCCCTATCTGTTTTTTTTAGGAAGTCCTTAACATGCCAGTCACCACACAGCTAAGTCATTAAGATCCCAGGATGCCTCCTCCGGGGCTGTTCTTCTCCTGCACAGTTCCTCCTTTGCTGCCAGATCCATCCTTGCCTGTTCTAAGCAACTCTCGGTCTTTTCACCTGGCCTGGCACGCAGACACCGATGTCATCTCCCTCCAAACCACAGACTCAACACAACGTGGTCAGGTGGGGGCAGAACTAAGCCTGTTCCCCCCTCCCCACTCCCTGTAGACAAGCTTCGAAGGCACAGTGAGCCCAGCACTCACCTTTGAGGACAGGCTTCTCCCCAATGTTGCGGATGTTATAGATGGCGCTCGACAGGGGTGCGTCTGGAATGAGCTCTGCGAGCAAGTACCCAGAATACCAGGCACACACGGAGGCGAAGACCAGGAGCACAGCCCTGAAAGCACCTACCGAGAGATGACAAGCTGGGTCTGTGAACTGCTTGGTGCTGGGTGCTACCAGGCGATGCCGCCCGTGCTCTCCCGATGCCCTCCCCAGCCTTTCATCCTGACCCAGATCTGAGGGCACGTGATCCTGGGAAGGCTCCTGGGATGAGGGTGTGGGCAGGGGAGGGTGCAAAGTGGGCAGGGGAGGGAACAGAGTGAGCAGGAGAAGGTGCAGAGCTGCCGTAATGGACTGTGATGATTCCATCAGTCTTGTTGTGCTAGGCATTTAAAGTAGACAGTGGCCGATAAAACAAGCAAGCCAGGGATGTGCTCAAAGGCAAGTTTCTGTATTTGCTACTGGTTTCTGCCTCAAAGCCTCCTCAAATTCTCAAATACTAACATCACTGATTCATTAAGCACTTTTTGAAACAGCACACCCAAGTGAACCTGAAAAAACAAAAGCAGCTCATTCCCTTTGTGAGACAGTCAGTTTTGAGCACGCTCTGTGACCAGACTGAAATCTCCAGAGGGTAGGGCTCCATCTGCTTTGTGTGTGCTATATCACCAGTGCCCAGAACAGTGCCTGGCACCCAGTGGGCATGCAACGATCTTGCTGAATTATGGCCTGATCATGTAAAGGTGGGAGAGGTCCCCAAACTTGTCCTACCATTAGAGACAAGCCTGTGGGACCACCCATATCCCCAATGGCAAAAATCCCTAGAGATTTCTTTGTGGTTGATTGGCAACAATATCTTACCTCTCCTTCATGATACTCCTGAGGAAGAGGCACTGACCTCCTCCTAGGTCACCAGAGGCCTGGGAGATAGCTCCTTGTCTCTTCACAGGCAATCTGCCGGGGTTTTTTAAATTTTACTCCCTAAACATCACACAGATCAGAACTTGGTCAGCAGTTTGCTTACTCAGACTGCTACAGTGCAGAAATGGCAATGACCCTGCATAGAAGGATGGGCCTTGGGGAATTTGTCCAATAGCATTTAACTGTGTGCTAATAGGTGCAGTCCTAAGAAATAAGAGAAGGAAGAGCGGGGACAGAAGGAAGGGAAAGAATAAAAGAAAGAAAGGGAAAGGAATTATTGAACCTGAAGGAGTCATGGGGAACCCCAAACACAGCTGGTCAGTCAGACTTGGGGCTAGCATCTGATGTGAGGGCAGGCCCATGGAGAGCTTTGCTCTTAAAACTGTGGGTCTGACACTTGCTGTGGGGTTAGCATCAGAGTTGAAGGGAATTGCTGGACACCCAGCTGGTGTCAGAGTGCACAGAGAGCCTTTCCCTACTCAGCAGAGATGAGCTTCCTCACTGTGCCTTGGGTCAGCTTCTTTCTGAGTTTGCAGCCCTGGAGGCTGAGGTACAATCCTGACCTCTAACACACCAGCCCATAGCTTCATGCTCAGCCCTGTCCCTGCTGGATGATAAAACCTAAATCTCTGCCAGCCCCGTAATGGTCTCCACCCCTCAACTCTTGGTGTTCGACTCTGGATCTCAGTTTCCCCTTCACTTCCAGCACCTAAAGTTTTCTTTTCTTTCTCAGGAGCAGAACTACCCATGGACCCATACTCAGTACGGTGTGTGCTTATGCTCAGAGAAATAGCACACTGGCAGAGGAAGTCACATGGACACAATGAGACACTTCTGGTTCTCTTTGTTTTTTTGTTTTGTTTTGTTTTTGAGTCAGAGTCTCACACTGTCTTCCAGGTTGGAGTGCAGTGGCATGCTCATGACTCATCACAGCCTCAACTTCCTGGGCTCAGGTGATCCTTCTGCCTTAGCCTCCTGAGTAGCAGGGACTACAGTGCACACCACCATGCCCTGCTAATTTTTCTTTTTTTTTTTTTGTAGAGAAGAAGTCTCACTATGTTGCCTAGGCTAGTTTCAAACTCCTGGGTTCAAGCAATCCTCCCACCTCAGCCTCCCAAAGTGCTGGGATTACAGGCATGAGCTTCTGCATCCAGCTTGTTTTTTGTTTGTTTGTTTGGTTTTTTGAGTTGGAGTCTCACTCTGTCACCCAGACTGGAGTGCAGTGGCTGCTCCCGGCCACCGCAGCCTCGACCTGCTGGGCTCCGGCCATCCTTCCACCTCAGCCTTCCAAGTTGCTGGAACTACAGGTGTGCGCTACCACACCCAGCTAATTTTTGATTTTATTGTAGAGATGAGGTCTCATCAAGTTGCCCGGGTGGGTCTCGAACCCGCGGGCTCAGGCAATCCACTCACCTCAGCCTCCCAAAGTGCTGGGATTACAGGCTGAGCCACTGAGCCCGGCTTGTTTTTTTTTTAAGTGCATATTTCAACATCATTTTTTTTTTCTAATTTCCAAATCATGTGGTCCCAAAGATTGTTAGAATATTATGCAGGGATGACTTCCTCTTGGAAAAAGCCCAAAGCAGTGTGGCTACTACAGTTTCTAGAGTGAAGGAACATCTCCAAGACAGAAAACCAGCCACAGAAAACATAAGACAAGCATGGGATTTGCAGGGCACTGTGCTCAGTCACCGGTGGGTACTGTTCTCTCCTGCTCATTCCCCTGTAGGCAGGTCTCTCTGCCTAAAGGGTACTCTTCTCCTTGCAGTCTGGGTCCTGTGCCTGCAGCATGCTTCCAACCCAGGACCATGCCCACATGCCTAGGACAGTGGGTGGGATGCATGTTGTCCCAGAATATTCTGCTGGATGAACATGGAGTGGATATGTGCTGTGACAGCTACAGAATATGTTCGAGGGCAAGAGCAGTCCCTGGTATCCTGGGCGCCTCAGCTGCAGCTGGACTATCTTACCCAGAGAATGTTCTGAGGATCTTCCAAACGACACATCACATGTGAAATCTGGAGTAATGAGCTGTTGCTTAGCTTGGAGAAGGCTGAAAAGAAACATTATGCTACCTTTCTCATGTATAAAAACAGCTACATGAAGGAAGGGGTAATTGTGTTCTCAGTTGAACAAGGACCAATGGGTGGAAGTGACAGTGAAGAAAATGGAGAAAAAATAAAAAGCCAAGTGTCCTCACAAGGAGAAGTACAGGCTGTGGTCTGATGAGGCAACAAGCTCCCTTTCTGGACATTCAGGGCTCTCAGGAAGACTAAATTTGGGTGAAGGTGCAGCTGATGACCTCCAGGCTGGGGACAGACTGGCTTCTTGTGGCGACATGCAGTTGGCTGGGAGAAGCCAAAACTAGAGCCAGAAACATCTCTGAGGCAGAGGGCAGATCCAGCTGCATGCACTGGGATCAGTCCATCATCTGAAGATGGGGCACATGTGAGCAGGGAGCTAGATCAGCAGCCATTGCTCAGGTCTAGCACAAAGTCATGGGACCCTGAGGCAGGGTCCAGGGTGGGACCAGGGAGCCAGGAGTGACAAGCAAAATCCAGGCATGCAGCACACATTCATTTCCTAGGTAGCAAGGTATCACAGACAGTGTGGCTTCAATACATTTATTTTAGAAATTTGTTTTCTCAAGATTCTGGAGGCTGGAAGTCTGAGATCAAGGCGTCATCAGGGTTGGTTTATCTTTGGCTTGCAGAGGGCACCTTCTTCCTTGGTCCTCACAGGGTTGACCCTCTGTGTGTGTCTGTGTCATCATTGCCTATTCTTACAAGGACATCAGTTACCTTAATGTACTCATTTTAACTTAATCACCTCTTTAAGGTCCTATTTCCAAATACATTCTGAGGTGCTAAGAGTTAGGACTTCAACATATGGACATGGGCTCTAATTCAGCCCCTAACAAGTGTCAGGCAAGCCATGGAATGGCCTGTCTGTGGGCTGGACACCTGCAACAGGAGGTGACACCAGTGTGGGCAGGACATTAGGCAGTCTGTCAAGACAATGGGCAGCAGGGAAGAATCAGCACCTGAGCTGGGACACAAGAGATTTCTTCTTGGGAAAGGTGGGAACCCAGGGACTCCAGTAAGACAATTCCTTGGGACCTGGATGAGCCTGCCCTGTGAGAGGAAATCCAGTCACTTCAGAGGTGGAGGAGGAAGTACAGAGTCCAGGAACCCTTCTGCAATCCTGTAACCAGGATCCAACCTCTTCCTGTAAGGTAATAAAGCCATCGTAGTGCACAAAAATGTCCTGCGATATGCTTGCTGCCCAGCAGACACCATGAGCACAGGAGCAAAGGCCAGAACTTAGCACAGACAGAGAGCCAGCTGACTTTCTCCTAAGAGATCCACCTCTAGGGTGCCTGTGTGTACACGTGTGCATCTGTGCGAGTTCTAACCTGAAGTCCACTCCAGGACTTCCAGGCAGGCCTTGAACATTTTCTTAAAAGCCAGAAAGAAAGCAATTCTAAAACCAATGGATCCAACACCAGGTTACAGGTGGGAGAGCTTAAGACTCTCTGCTTCCCTCCTATCCAGGGGCCACCAGAAAAGGGCCATTCTGGAGCCTACAATACACTTCTGTTGATGGGATTTCCTCCAGCCTCAACGCAGACAGGGAGACTGTCATCACTGGTGCTTTGGCAACACACATTCAGATCACCTCAACCCTGGACCTTTTGCCTGTCAGAGCCAGGAGGGGTGAATGTGGAAGGTTCATACTTCGGGCTCACTGCCTTGTGGATTCCAGGCTCTGCTGGCCTCTTGTCCACTGTCATCACTGTCTTGTCCACTGAGGCCTTTTGGCAGAGGGAATGGAAAGGATTACTCTGAATACCACAGCTGGTATGCCATGTAATCACACCAAAGGTCCACATGCCAATGCCCATTTCGAGGAATTAGGATGCCCGCTATACTACCAAACCCCTTGGGCAAAGGCCTGGCTGGCAGCTTAACTTCATCCATTCAATCTGAATTTCCTTCCTGCCAACCATCTACCTGAAATAAACCCAGTGCTGGAATGAGGTGTCAAGGACAAGCCCCATTCCAAAAATGTCTCCAAATCCTGAGGTTGCAAGATCAAAAGTGAGTGGCTCTGAGTTCCTGCTGGCAACTTCTCTCACAATCACACATGCCCAGATGAATAAACCTGGCATTGTGTCAAAACTTCTTTTTTTTTTTGAGTTGGAGTTTCACTCTGTCACCCAGACTGGAGTGCAGTGGCCGCTCCCGGCCACCGTATCCTCGACCTGCTGGGCTCTGGTGATCCTTCCACCTCAGCCTTTCAAGTAGCTGGAACTACAGGTGCGCACTACCACGCCCGGCTAATTTTTTGATTTATTGTAGAGATGAAACTTCTTATGAGAGTGCCACACAGCTCAAGAGTGAATAGTGAGGCCTATGTGTGAAAAGTTGCAGGTAAGGGAAAGCAGTCTGATAATATCAGCATTGTCCATAAGCAGCCAGAAAATAACATTATAATTACACAACATAGAAATAATGAAAAACATTCTTCAGATAGCTATAAAAAATGTCAGCACCCTAAGGGAGGTGATGCATATAACTCTCCTATAATCTACACAAGTTATCAAAAAGCAGTGTTGCTCATAAATAAACAGCTTTTAAAGAAAATATAAATATTTTACACAATAAGGCAAAAACCTAAAAATTTGACTTTTCTACATTTGGGAATGGCACAGAAAAGACAGCATTTAAAACTTCTCTCTGGAGAGTCACCACACTGAACACCACAGGAAACTGTATCATTTAGTCTAACACCTTCACTGCAGAAAACCTGGGATGCTGAGACCAGGGAAGGGATCTACCAAAGAGAACTTCCATTTTTGAACTTCCAGTATTTGCACAGGCCATGCTTCCATGCTCCAGGAGGGATCCAGATTTGAAAGGGTATGCATGACAGAGCCTGGGCAGAGAACACCAGGACCCAGAATACCCTGCAACAGGCAAGCGACTGAGGACAAAGGCCATTTAAGAATACAGTCTTTGAGAGATGTAATGACTGAAAATAATAATGGGTTTTCCCTTTCCTTTTGTTTCTATTTTTCCAAATCTTCTAGTGTCAACTGGTTTGAAAAATGGGAAAAATAAAAACAGCGTTACCAACCGGCAGCAGGCCAGCCCCTCTCCCTCTCCCTCCCTGAGGCAGGGTCCAGGGTCTCCTGGCAGGCGCCTTGTCCTCAAGGCGGGAACCTGGGGGCGGATAGGAGGTGCTCTGCCTGGGCTCCGCATGCCTACTTTCCAGGTAAAATGTCACTCTCACTGACCCCCACCCACATCCCACGCACCCCGGCTGGGGTGGCTGGAGCAGGCAGGTAGGGGCACCCTGCTGGGGAACCCCAGCACTTTCACCCCTTCTGGATTCGCTTCCTCCCTTCCTGATCACTGGTCTAAGACCGGCCTGGCACCCGCCCCACGCCCTGGCTTAACGTGGCAGGTCCCAGGTCCGGTCCGGGGCGGCTCTCTCCGTCCCGAGTCCCCCCTTTCTCCTCCCGTGCGGGGTCACACTCACCGCCAGCCACAGGGCGCATCTTCGAGTGCCGCTCCCACCTGCCTGGCCTGCGGCCGCTCTTAGCGATAGCGGCCGGCGGAGCCTCCAGGGCGGCGGGCAGGGCCAGGCGGGGCAGCAGAGGGCGCGGCCAGTCGGTGAATGGCAGGTTCGGAGCCCGCAGGTGCGCAGGTCGCCGCGTCTGCGGGGCAGGCAGGTGTGTGGGCGGAGCAGGGCGGACAGGTGTGTAGGCGGAGCAGGGGCGGCCTCAGAAGCTCTTCGGTTGCTCTCGGAGTGAAAGGCACTCCCTGTCGGGCTGACCCTGGGCTAGGGCTGGTATGACAGGTGAAGCCCAGCGAGGTTGGCTCAGAAGGGAGGACACTACCCACCTCATCTCCTCGCCTATTTAATACCTCACAAGAGGAAATGACACAGCTCAACCTTTGTATCGTCAAAGTAGGGTCCAAGTTCACAGAGTCAACGTCCACTGTCCCCAGGCCACAGTTCTACTGTTCTTTGCTTTGTCCAGAACAGTCACTCTGTCCCCTTCTTGTCTGCCCGTTCACCCCGTTCAGCAAGGTGGCCCATGTCTCACTTTCTCCTTTACTGCTGGAATAATTAACTCTAGGAAAATGAGGAAACAACAATGCCCTAGGCCCTTGGTCAGGATACAGGCCTGCACACACACCTGTACCTCCCTCACTGACCCCCACAGGCCTCTGGTCACCCCAAACTCTCCAGCCACCTCTCAACTCACAGGAGGCTGGCTGGTATGATGTGCTTCTGTGACATGTGGACATTGAGTAATCGCCATGCAGATATGGTACAGTTCAATGTAGACATCACACACACACACACACACATGCACACACACACACACACACACAGACACACAGACACACACACATACACACACACACACACAATGAGACCTAGAGTGGTATTTTGCTGACTTGTAACTTATCCACTGATGCCTTAATCTGCCTTCACTTTCACAAACTGAATTGTGCATGCTTGTATTTTATTTTTAAATGTTAAGGTCACTGGACTTCAGGTTTTCTTTTGTATCCTCTCACAAGGCTTTGTATTCAATAACCATTCAATTTATACCATAGACCAAGACAGGAGGATTGCTTGAGTCCAGGAGTTTGAGACCAGCCTAGGCAACATAGTGAGACCTCATCTCTACAAAAAAATTATTTTAAAAACTAGTGGTGTAGTGGTGCACACCTGTAGCTCCAGCTACAAGGGAGGTTGAAGTAGAAGAATTGCCTGAGCCCAGGTGATCCAGGCTGCGGTGAGCTATGATTGTGCCACTGAACTCCAGCCTAGGCAACAGAGTGAGCTGCTGATGCAAAAAAAGAAAGTAAAACTTTATATCACAGACTAGCAGGTCTCAAAATGTGGTCCAGGGACTCCAGAACGTATGAGATCCTTCAGGAAGTTTGTGAGGTCAAAACTGAATATGGCCGGGCTCGGTGGCTCAGCCTGTAATCCTGTGCCTTTGGGTGGCTGAGGTGAGTGGATTGCCTGAGCCCGCGGGTTCGAGACCCGCCTGGGCAGCGAGACCTCATCTCTACAATAAATCAAAAAATCAGCCGGGCGTGGTAGCGTGCGCCTGTAATTCCGGCTACTCGGAAGGCTGAGGCAGAAGGATCGCCAGAGCCCAGCAGGTCGAGGCCGCGGTGGCCGGGAGCGGCCACTGCACTCCAGTCTGGGCGACAGCGTGAGACTCCAACTCAAAAAAAAAAAACTGAATATGAAGACATTAGTTGTTCTTTTTGCTCTCATCCACTCAGGATTCTACAGTGCTTTCCACTGTATATTGGTAAGGTCTGCATGACTCAAAGGACCAGCGTTCTTCAAATGACGAATGTATTATAGTATAAAACCATGCAAGGGAAAACAATCCATTCTATGTGCCAAATAGAACAATGAATTTTAACATAACAGACTAAGCTACCACTTGTCAAGCTTGGGTATAGTATCAAATAAGAATATCCGCAATTGTCTGAAAAGACTATTAAGATACTCCTCACTGCCCCAACTACATAACTACGTGAGGCCAGATTTCCTCCGTACCTATGCTTAAAATACATTGCAGCAGGCTAAAGTATGAAAAGGAGCCTGGAGAATCCAGTTGTCTTTTGCTAAGGATGTTAACGAGATTTGCAAAAATGTAAAACAATGCTATACTTCTCACTAGACATTTTGTTTTGAAAGATAAAATGCCTTTCATAAAAATATTTATGTTAACATTCAATGGTCATATTGGTGCTATTTTTCAATGAATTAATAAATATTTTAAAACTTCTCAATTTTAACTTCTCATGCAGTAAACATCGAAACATGTAACTCTCACAAGCTAAAGCTGTTTGGGGTCCTCCATCATATTTAAGTGTATAAAGGGGTCCTGAGATTTAAAAAGTTTAGGAACCACTGCTTCAGGTTGCCTGACTGAAATACTGAGCAGACCCTTTAGAAACTAAAGGGACAAATAACCCAGATTTGGAGTCTGACCTGGTATCAATCAAGGTCCCACACCACACTAACAGATTTGGAGCAACTTATTTAATACTCTTGAACACCAGTTCTTTTAAAATCTGTGAACTGGGAAGAGCAGTAACCTTTTCAGAATTGTAGAGATTCAACAGGACTATGCATGGAACATACTAGTAGAGACACAGCCCACAGCTAGTAGTCTCTCACAGATGCTGTTATTTATAGAAGTCTCACATCATCCCATAAGGCTTTGAGGGAGCCAGGTCTGTCTGGGCTGAAGCGGGTAAAGGCACACAGAATCATGGCCAGCTGAAATGCAATTGCAATGAAAGCAAGAGGCTTTCCATATCCCAGCATGCACCCTGGGAACACCATAGGATGGCAGAGGGCTGTCTCTACTGAGCTCTTCCAACCCAGGGGAGGGGCATGCTCGTCTCTGAAGGGGCAAGAAGCCCAGACAGAGCAGCTCGGTGGAATACCAGGCCCTGATTCAATTCAATTCAACCAGTGCAATGCTCACAAAGCCTGGTGCAAACCCCAGAGATGCATCAGTGAGCAACACTGATAAAGACAAAGGATGGTGTGGCTCATAATCTGGTACCAACTTCCAGAAAGTGAGGCAGCAGTCACAGGGTCCCTAAGGAGGACCGGCCTGAGGATGGGAGCATTTCAAGTGGGAACCCTCAGCAGCACAGAGAGGCAGAGGACAGGCAGTGACGTTACAGGCGCTGGTGCACGGGGTCATGAGATGCCACAAAGATGCACTGGCAGTGCTGGAGGCCAGATCCAGGGTGAGACTCCCTCCGTAACATAGCCATGGAGAGCCGGGGCAGTGACCAGCAGGACAGGGGAGAGAGTACAGGCTTCCCCTGGAGCAAGAAGAAAGAGGGGAGAGGAAGAAGTGGAGGCTGGGGAAGGCAGCCTTTGGGAGAAATCTTCCTGCCTTCTTCCTAAATCATAGCTCTGCCAGCAGCTTCCTTGTAACAGCAGATTGGGAGAAACCCAGGGGCCATGAACTGGCAGAAGGCACAGACTTAGCCTAGAAAACTCTGAGTTTGAATAAAGGGCTAGAAGTAAGCAAAGGTGAACAGAGAGCTTAAATGGATAAGCAATTTGGCCTTTCTTTCACCTAAAAGTGGGACAGCTGCCATCCTGGGCCACTCCCCTTTGTTCTGGAGAGCAACCTGGCTGTCCCATGCCTGACAGTGCCTAGCATTTGGACACAGCCATTGCCCTCAGGAAGGACAGGTGGCCCAGGGTCCAGAGAGGTATGTCTAAGCTTCTAAACTGGTCTTGTTGGTTCTGCTTGTCTAGCTGCTACTTGCAGACCCCCTGTGAGTCCTCTGCCAGTGCCAGATGTGTCTGTGCAAAAATCCATGTTGACCTTAGTTTTCACTTGAAAAGGTATTGACATTAACTGCAGAAACCAAGAACTGATCATACTGTCATAAATCCACCTTGAAACATACACTCCAGTTTTGGGGTGACTGACTCCTGCCATTGTGACTGGGGATGTTTATATATTACAGTTCTAAATATTTCTTACAGGTTTCTCACATCCTTGCAATGCCTGTGGCCAGCATGGGTTACAGAAAGAAGCTGAAGCGGAAGCCAAGTTTGTCATGGGAGAGCCCCTGCTGCATGAGGAACTCACTGTGAGAAGGGAGGGCACCCACTGGTGTGAACTTGAAAGACGAAAGTGAGACAGCAGCTCCAAGGAGAGGCTGAGACAATTGTCCATTTGTTGGAAATGGAGGCTCCATTTGGAGACTGGAAAAGAGGTTTTGGGTAAAAGTGGAATATAAATCAGTACTACAGTTTAGGATTATGCTCATGTTCCCTTGAGCATGTGGGGAACCCTGGTCACCCCCTCTTTTGCCAGCTAGATGACTTAAGTGCACAGAGTCTGTAGGCAGCCCAAGGTCACTCAGCTAGAACCTGGGTCTCCTAAGTTGAAACACTGCATCAGAGAGTCCTAGGTCCCAATAAGGCACTCCACATCTCCTCCTGCAAAGACGAATCCTGGGAGGTCATCAGGTCCTCAAGGGCAAGGGAATGTCCACATGCTTCCTCTGGCCTCCCAGATCTGTGTAATTCTACCAGCATGTCTCTTCCGCCTTATTCTGGCCATCCTCTGGGGACCTGATGACTAGGTGCCCATTCATTTGCACCTGGCCTGAAATGCAAGATGTGTGAAAACCAAAACCAAACAAACAAAAGACAGTGCCCAAACTCACACCCTTGACTGCTGCGTGTCACTCTTTATAAAGCAATTTTGTTGACAGCAGCTCCTGTCATTTGGAGGAAGAACATGGAAGTGGGAAGAGCCCATCTGGATGGCCTAGAATGGGCTACTTAACATCTCTGAGCCTGGCTTCTTCATCTGTACACCAAGGATAACCACACCCAACACATAGGGAGGTTATCCAGACTGAGTGAGAAAATAGAGAAAGCATCCAGGACACTGCTGGATGCAAGTGAGGCATCCTGCAAACGGTCACTATTACCATTAACTTACTGGATTATTTTTTCTCTCACTGT